ACACACACACACACACACACACACACACACACAAACACACACACACACACACACACACACAACAGTCAGGTGATACCATTGACATTTACTGACATGATCAACATCAAAGTTGACAAAATAACAAATCCATCAATCTGTCTGCCAATGACAGTCGTCCTACTGGTCAAATCTATTGGGTCGACTTAGAAGGCGACGGCCTTGCTTTCTGCAGCAAGTATCCACAGTACATCATGGACTATTGACATTGAGGGTGCGCAACCTGAAGTGACCCCTTGATAGTTAACCGCTTTACTTTACACGTTCCTAGTATGACAAGGTTGTCAGCAAGCTAGTGTACAGCTCAGCTCTCGGTCGATGTATGTTGGAGGACAACAGCTAAACCAAAGCCTTTAATTGTAGCTAGGTAGAACCAGATGTTCTCAGAAGTGTTAAGACGAGAGCATTCTAGCTAGCTGCATTTTATTCTGATATCACGTTTCTGTCATAGTGGCAACATTTCACCATTCTACCGGTTGTAAAACCGCGAACGATATCCAAAGAAACCGGTATGATAGCGTAAATGACCTGGTAAATGAAGCTAATATCCTTCTGACAGCATGTTGTAAAGGAAAATTGACCGTTTTCTAGCTAGAGTTGTTATGGTTTTCCGTCCGGTCCTGTCGCTTGCGTGGCCATTTCCGGAATATACGTCATTTGTCGACGAGGCAGTAGTTTGCAACAATGAGATTATGGAAAATGATTTTTACATTTTTAACAAATTAGATGTTTCGCTTTCAAATTAAAAGTAAATCATTGAAATAAAGCTATCATCAAATAAGACAGGCTCCGAAATCGGAATACAATAAAATGCAACAATGCTCTATTTCTCCCTTGCGCTCTCTTTTTATTTAACATATACAGTACTCCTGGTTTTACGGTAATGTGATAAGGTTTTTGCTATATTACGGTTTTATAAATACGGGGCGCTTGGGGGTGTAGTTGGACAGTTTTTGCGCCTCTGTGTTTTACGCGCAGAGAGAGAATGGCCAGGATATTGTGCATTTTGTCTGCAGTAATTTTTGTCGTGAAAACTGACGATGTCAGCGAATTTAATGCAACTATAACAGCCGTGAACGTTACATTTAACTCTACTGTTAACAGAACGATTGCTTTTAAAACGACAACTGCGTTCTCGTTATTCTCCCCCACCACCACAGTCAATAACACAGTTTTGGGAAAGAAAAATCTGGGAAAGAAAAATCAGGGAAAGAAAAATGTACAAGACAAGCGCATCGATCAAGACGAGGATGGAAAACGTGAAACCAAGAATGGCACAGCAGATGCAAAGAAAGGACCTGGTAAATTAATGACCTAGTCCTTTGCAAATGTATTTATTCAGCAATTTACATAAGTGAGCATTTAACTGTATGACATTGTGCATGCCATGGATGGATTTTCTCAACTTTTTTTGTGCATGGGATAGATTTTCTCTACTTTTATAATAGTTTATTTACTTTAGAAGTTTTTTTGTGGTTCACTGTTGCGTGGTAGGCTATCAGCAGTCTGTAGAAGAAGGTTTCAGCAGGATGACCGTCTCAGTAATAGGGTCTGTATGTGGAGGAGTAACCTAGTAGCCTGTCATTAATGCATGTAATAAGAGGCGGACAAAGCAGTCATGTAACAGTCGGTCGTATACTGTCATTCTACCAGATACAGTCACCGGTTCCTGTCCTTCTGTTCATCTATCGCATTGTTCTTGATGTAAACTTTGAAGAAAATAAAAACATTTACATTTACATCATTTAGCAGACACTTAGGTTTAATAAGCTGTTATCGATGTAAAGTATGAATTTCTAGCTTAGTCCTTATAACATAATAATAATTACTTTTATAATGTAATAATTTAAAGTAACTGCCCAGTGTTTCCAGATTTCTATGAAATATGACCTATAATTACTTACAATATCAGTGAAGTTGTTTTCCTTCCAAAAAAATTGTAATTAAGTATGTTAAAAATCCGGTTTTCTGTGTTTGAATGGTGTGGGTGTACCCCAACAACAGAATGGTGTGGGCGTATACCAGTCATTAAAAATAATAACGTTAATTAGACTAGTGATTGCCCCGCTCATTTCCTCTCAGACTGCTTGATTGGCCAGCTCATTCGTCCTCTAGGACTGCTGATTGGCCAGCTTAATCCTCCTCTAGACTGACTGGTATTGGCCAGCTCATTCTCCTCTAGACTGCTGATTTGGCCCAGCTAATCGTCCTCTAGACTGCTGCTTGGCCAGCTCATCGTCCTCTAGACTGCTGATTGGCCAGCTCATTCTCCTCTAGACTGCTGATTGGCCAGCTCATCTCCTCTAGACTGCTGATTGGCCAGCTCATCGTCCTCTAGACTGCTGATTGGCCAGCTCATCGTCCTCTAGACTGCTGATTGGCCAGCTCATCGTCCTCTAGACTGCTGATTGCCCAGCTCATCGTCCTCTAGACTGCTGATTGGCCAGCTCATCGTCCTCTAGACTGCTGATTGGCCCAGCTCATCGTCCTCTAGACTGCTGATTGGCCAGCTCATTCTCCTCTAGACTGCTGATTGGCCAGCTCATTCTCCTCTAGACTGCTGATTGGCCAGCTCATTCTCCTCTAGACTGCTGATTGGCCAGCTCATTCTCCTCTAGACTGCTGATTGGCCAGCTCATTCTCCTCTAGACTGCTGATTGGCCAGCTCATCGTCCTCTAGACTGCTGATTGCCCAGCTCATCGTCCTCTAGACTGCTGATTGGCCAGTTTATCCTCCTGAGTATTTCCATATGAGGAAATAGCAAGCATTTTTTGAAACATCTGTTTGAGATACTTGTTTGAGGTGGGGCTTTTGAAGTGTTTTTTTTCTCCAATTTATGCTTTGGCCACAAATACGAATAAGGACGAGTCAACAACATTATTTGGATATGAGTTAACAGAATATGAACTTTTAAAAGTAAGATTTTCACTGCAGTTACTTTAATAATGTAATAATTGTATAATATAATTATAGAAAAGTTATATTAATCACTTGAATATGGCCCCTTTGGCACTCCACCTTACTTGTTGGATGGATGTCAAAACACAGAGACCAATATGAACATATCTAAAGGACAGTGACTGTTCCCTGCACCCTATTCCCTATACAGTGCATTCGGAAAGTATTCAGACCCCTTGACCTTTTCCACATTTTGTTACGTTACAGCCTTATTCTGAAATTGATGAAATTGTTTTTTTCCCCCGCTCATCAATCTACACACAATACCCCACAATGACAAAGCAAAAACAGGTTTTTATAAATGTTAGCAAATGTATTAAATGTAAAACTGAAATATACATTTTACATAAGTATTAAGACCCTTTACTCAGTATTTTGTTGAAGCACCTTTGGCAGCGATTACAGCCTCAAGTCTTCTTGGGTATGACGCTACAAGCTTGGCACACCTGTATTTGGGGAGTTTCTCCCATTCTTCTCTGCAGATCCTCTCAAGCTCTGTCAGGTTGGATGGGGAGCGTCGCTGCACAGCTATTTTCAGGTCTCTCCAGAGATGTTCGATCGGGTTCAAGTCCGGGCTCTGGCTGGGCCACTCAAGGACATTCAGAGACTTGTCCCGAAGCCACTCATGCGTTGTCTTGGCTGTGTGCTTAGGGTTGTTGTCCTGTTGGAAGGTGAACCTTCGCCCCAGTCTGAGGTCCTGAGCGCTCTGGAGCAGGTTTTCATCAAGGATTTCTCTGTACTTTGCTCCGTTCATCTTTCCCTCGATCCTGACTAGTCTCTCAGTCCCTGCCGCTGAACAACATCCCCACAGCATGATGCTGCCACCACCATGCTTCACCATAGGGATGGGTGCCAGGTTTCCTCCAGACGTGACTCTTAGCATTCAGGCCAAAGAGTTCAATCTTGGTTTCATCAGATCAGAGATTCTTGTTTCTCATGGTCAAAGTCTTTAGGTGCCTTTTGGCAAACTCCAAGCGGACTGTCATGTGCCTTTTACTGAGGAGTGGCTTCTGTCTGGCCACTCTACCATAAAGGCCTGATTGGTGGAGTGTTGCAGAGATGGTTGTCCTTCTGGAAGGTTCTCCCATCTCCACAGAGGAATTCTGGAGCTCTGTCAGAGTGATCATCAGGTTCTTGGTCACCTCCCTGACCAAGGCCCTTCTCCCCCGATTGATCAGTTTGGCCGGGCGGCCAGCTCTAGGAAGAGTCTTGGTGGTTCCAAACACCTTCCATTTAAGAATGATGGAGGCCACTGTGTTCTTGGGGACCTTCAATGCTGCAGACATTTTTTGGTGCCCTTCCCCAGATCTGTGCTTCGGCACAATCCTGTCTCAGAGCTCTAAAGAGAATTCCTTCGACCTCATGGCTTGGTTTTTGCTCTGACATGCACTGTCAACTGTGGGACCTTATATAGACAGGTGTGTGCCTTTCCAAATCATGTCCAATCAATTGAATTTACCACAGGTGGACTCCAAACAAGTTGTAGAAACCTCTCAAGGATGATCAATGGAAACAGGATGCACCCAAGCTCAATTCTGAGTCTCATAGCAAAGGGTCTGAATACTTATAAGGTATTAAAAAAATATATATATATATACATTTGCAAAAACAATTTAAAACCTGTTTTCGCTTTGTAATTATTAATTATGGGGTATTGTGTGTAGATTGATGAGGAAAAAATTAATTTAATCCATTTTAGAATAATGCTGTAACGTAACAAAATGTGGAAAAGGTCAAGGGGTCTGAATACTTTCTGAATGCACTGTATAGTTCATTATTATTCATCAGAGCCCCTATTGGTCAACAGTAGTGCACTACATAATAGGAAATAGGGTGTCACTTGGGATGCACCCA